TTAACTTCTTGCTGCCCATGTAATGCGTATGTGCGAGAGCAAAGGAGGGGCCCACACACCGCAAACATGCATCCATAAGCAGAAGCGTTTTCTGTGCTGAGAGTGCCAACTCTATGCTCCCAGAACAGTGGCCGAGCTGTCAAAGACTGCTGTTGGTCTCTATCGATGATCAGGAGCTGAACAGACCAGCTCCCAATTATGGGATCACTCTGACAGCCAGTCACAGAGGTCACATGATCAGCCGGTTCTTCCTGTCCCCTGGGTGTAAAGACCCTGTTAAAGGTGGGAAGAGGTTAACACGGTTTCCAGTACTTGTTATTTTGGAACTGGTTACCTTATTCTAACCAGACTAGTTTGTATTTTTACTCTCTTTTCTCTTTTTCAAATCAATAAAAAAATGTTGTAAAATAATTATTTCATCTTTTTGGATTTAATTTTGTTCATTTTGAAAGTGGAAGGAAGAACTGTGTGACCACAGAATATGTGACTATGAAGGTTCTGTCAGTGCACTGGTTACAGATCACTCATCGAATGATAGGCAGAAGGGGGTCATATATAAATAAAATAAAAGATTGAGTGAATATTGAGACTACAGAGTGCCCTTAAAGAAGAACGATCATTAAATATTTTTCACTGTTGTATCCCCCATTGCACAATGTTCATGTAGTCCTTTGTGCCACGATGCTAGGTGCTTCCTGACCCGACTCATGAGGTCGGACCGAGCAGCAACCCCATTCCCCTCCCCATGGCTGTCGAACTACATAGCTATGAAGGAGATGGCTTCTTCATAACGGCCACTTGTCTTGGCTCCAGGCACTTTCCTGAGGCTAGTGGTGGCAAGAGGAATGCATCAGCTGATGCCCACTCTCCCTCTGCATTCCTCTTGCCACCACTAGTCTCAGGAGAGTGCTCAGAGCCAAGACAAGTGGCCATTATAAAGAAGCCAGCTCCGACTTTGTTGCGTTGGACAACAGCAGGGGAGGAAAGAGGTGCCCTTTGTCCCACGATGCTAGGTGCTTCCTGACCCGAGCCATGAGGTTGGACCGAGCAGCAACCCCATTCCCCTCCCCATGGCTGTCAAACTGCATAGCTATGAAGAAGAAGGCTTCTTCATAACGGCCACCTCTCTTGGCTCCAGGCACTTTCCTGAGGCTAGTGGTGGCAAGAGGAATGCATCAGCTGATGCCCCCTCTCCATCTGCATTCCTCTTGCCACCACTAGTCTCGGGAGAGTGCTCAGAGCCAAGACAAGTGGCCATTATAAAGAAGCCAGCTCCGTCTTTGCTGCGTTGGACAACAGCAGGGGAGGAAAGAGGTGCCCGATCCAACTAGGGTTAGGAAGCAACTAACAACATGAGACAAAGTACTACATGTCCAACGGTCCAACGGAAGCAGAACAGTGAAAAAAAAAATTAAGGAACTCACTTGTTATTAAAAATGTAAAATTCAGCAGCTATAAGTATTGTATGTGCTGACTTTAAAAACCCAACACTTTTCAGCTCAAGGAGTCCAGAGCAGTCTTCCAAGAACCCAAAGTCTTTAGTACTGTCTTTGGTCCCATGCTGCCATCTTTGTTTCCGGAGCCAGCTGTGACATCCTGATTAGTCACAGCCTGCCACCTTCTGAGCATGCACCAGATAAGAGGGGTGCAGGGAGACTGGGTGTAGTCTCCGGAGATGCATGACATCTATACCAGAAGGTTGTGGGCAGGGGGTAGGATGACACTACTTCAGAAGAAGGAAATGGGGGCAAATTGGGAGCTATCGAAAAAATAAAATAAAAAAATCCAAATGTTTATTAGGGAGGCGGTAGGATTAGGAATATTTAATGTCTTACATGTGAGTGAAGGTACCACTTTCATGATGCTTCTTTATAATGTAATAACTTATTATTATATATGATCATACTGTATGTGTAATCTGAATTATAGATAAAAAGGAACGTATTTTATACATGTGAACTAAATGGCACCAACCACATAAGAGTAAGTACAACCCTATCATTACCCCTATTCCTTATACTGTTATTACACATCACTGTATAGAGTTTATATACAGGACAGTTTTTAAGGCGGGGCAAAAGGGGCAGCTGCCCCAGGCCCTCTCATTATGGGGCCCAACATCCTACCAATCTCTCCCTGCAGCTGCAGGGAAAGGCAAGCATGGAGCAGTGGTGTCCATAACTGACAGTGGAGCTGGCTCTCACTACTTTGCTTGCTACGAATAATGCCAGTGTTGTCAGACTGAATATAATCCTGACTGGCTTGATTAACTCCATCTTTCCTGCCACATGTTAAATTTTGCTGTACTTTTACTCTGGCAAGGAGAATCATCTACTTAGCAACCAATCAGTGAGCAGAAATGATGTGCAGTAACCTCTAGCAACCAATCAGTGAGCAGTAATAATGTGAAGTAACCTCTAGCAACCAATAGGTGAGTGGTAATGATGTGCAGTAACCTCTAGCAACTAGTAATACTGTACAGTTTATAGAGCGCAAATGCCTTCATGCTAAAGCTATTACCGTATTTGCCGGCGTATAAGACGACTGGGCGTATAAGACGACCCCCTACTTTTCCTGCTAAAATGTAGTGTTTGGGCTATACTCGCCGTATAAGACTACCCCTCTTCCAATGCACACCACTGGGAGGAATAGTGCCGCATCATTGGTGTCAGTGGCAGGAATAGTGCCCCATCATTGGTGTCAGTGGGGGAATAGTGCCCCATCATTGGTATCAGTGGGAGGAATAGTGCCCCATCATTGGTATCAGTGGGAGGAATAGTACCCCATCATTGGTATCAGTGGCAGGAATAGTGCCCCATCATTAGTATCAGTGGGAGGAATAGTGTCTCATCATTGGTATCAGTGGCAGGAATAGTGCCCCATCATTGGTATCAGTGGAGGAATAGTAGGAGGAATAGTGTCCCATCATTAGTATCAGTGGGGGGAATAGTGTCCCATCATTAGTATCAGTGGGGGGAATAGTGTCCCATCATTAGTATCAGTGGGGGAATAGTGTCCCCATCATTAGTATCAGTGGGGGGAATAGTGCCCCATCATTGGTATCAGTGGGGGAATAGTGCCCCATCATTAGTATCAGTGGGGGGAATAGTGCCCCATCATTGGTATCAGTGGCAGGAATAGTGCCCCATCATTGTATCAGTGGGAGGAATAGTGCCCCATCATTGGTATCAGTGGGAGGAATAGTGCCCCATCATTGTATCAGTGGGAGGAATAGTGCCCCATCATTGGTGTCAGTGGGAGGAATAGTACCCCATCATTAGTATCAGTGGGGGGAATAGTGTCCCATCATTGGTGTCAGTGGGAGGAATAGGAATTGGTGTCAGTGGGAGGAATCCCATCATTGGTGTCAGTGGGGAATGGAATAGTGCCCTATCATTGGTGTCATTGGTGTCAGTGGTGGGGTGGGTGAATAGTGCCCCATCATTGGTGTCAGTGGGGGTGGAATAGTGCCCCATCATTGGTGTCAGTGGGGGGTGGAATAGTGCCCCATCATTGGTGTCAGTGGGGGTGGAATAGTGCCCCATCATTGGTGTCAGTGGGGGTGGAATAGTGCCCCATCATTGGTGTCAGGGGGGTGGAATAGTGCCCCATCATTGGTGTCAGTGGGGGTGGAATAGTGCCCCATCATTGGTGTCAGTGGGGGGAATAGTGCTCCATCATTGGTATCAGTGACACCAATGATGGGGCACTATTCCTCCCACTGACACTTGCTGACCCTGTTCTCGTATGGTGCTGCTGCAGCCAGCATATGTGGTTGCAGCAGCACCTCTACACTGACCACTTACCTGCTGGTCCTGCACTCGATTTTCGCGGGGCCGCTTGGCTCCGCCCCCTTGCCGGTGATTGGCCGCCTGTGTGCCTTTCCTGAGCTACAGTTCTGGTGGCCAATCACCGGTGAGGAGGCGGAGCCGAGCAGCCGCGTGAACATCCAGTTGCCGAACTGAAGGAGCAGCCGCGCTTCCTGGACCGGATTGTCGTGGGACCGGAACCAGGTAAGAAACAGCCCCTGCCCACCCCTGTACTTAGTGTCCCTTCCGTTGGAAGGGGGGGGGGGGGGGCGGCGGCGGCACCGTGCCGCCCCCCTAAAAGTGTCAGTATGCCGTTATACCGGCGTATAAGACAACCCCCGACTTTTGAGAAGATTTTCAAGGGGTAAAAAGTCGTCTTATACGCCGGCAAATACGGTACATATAATCTGTGAAAAATCACTCAACTAAATATTTCGACTACACAACTAAAACCACTGCTGCCTTCTTAATAAAAAATAAACAATGTCATGTAAAGTATTCACCTCATAGTGGAGCTATGATATACAACCATAAAAAAAATTATACAACATTTAAAACTGTCACAGTAAAACTGTTTATATTAATAGTCCATATTCATTTTAGGTGCAACATAAAGTGCTCCAATCTTCCATAAAATTGTCCTCCACCAGGACACCACAAGTGCTTGTGAGAAATCCACTCCCCTTTGGGTAAACACTCACCAGACCTCCATGCCTCCAATGTCATGGTTGCCATGGTTCGCCAAGAGCTCCACATCTGCTCACTGATGCAAAAGCTCCACTGTTTACCCAAGAGTGGATTTCTCACAAGCACTTATGGTGTCCTGGTGAGAACAATTTTATGGAAGATTGGAGCACTTTTTGTTGCACCTAAAATAATATGGACTATTAATATGAGGATTGTTTCGCTGTAACAGTTTTAAATGTTGCATAATTTTTTATGGTTATATAATCACAGCACCACTGTGAGGTGAATACTTTACAATACTGTACAGTAACCTCTAGCAACCAATCAGCGAGCAGTAATGATGTGCAGTAACCTCTAGCAACCAATTGCAATTGCTGCTTGATCTGCTGCAGTAAACTGGGGGGGGGGGGGGGGCACCAAGAAGATTTTTGCCAAGGGTCCAATCAATATTAAAGACAACCCTGCATGTATGGACTAAAATAACAAACAAACAAAAAAACTTACCAGAGTGAAAACGATGGCAGCAATCGCAGCATACAACATGTGCAGCCATTTTATCTGGAACGAAATAAAAACATTGGGTCAAATATCTGAAAGTAGATGTAAGAGCCTCCATGTTGGGCCAAAAAGTTTGGAATATATTTTTGCACTCTATCAAGCAGGGGCGGACTGACAACTCATGGGGCCCCCGGGCAATAGGGGATCATGGGGCCCCTGTGTCCTTGCCCAAACTAAAATAAAGCCTATGAAAAAGGTAGCAGGGGCATCTCATGGGGCCTCCTACTGATCCCAGGCCCTTGGGCAGTGCCCGAGTTTCCAAATGGTCAGTCCGCCCCTGCTATCAAACAATGTCCTCATTTCATCAATTTGTTTCCTTTTCTTTTAAAGTGGAGCTCCGGTCGGTTTTCTGAAAGTTAAAAGTCAACAGCTACAGTTTTACTAATCAGACACTAACCTGTACCAGACCCCCGAGGGGGCACTGGGTACCGGGTTTGGTCCTCAGCGCCAGGACCTTAACTGTGTGCACCCGGCCGTGACAGCTTGCGGCTTCACAGCTGGGTGCCCACTGCGCAAGCCGCGCTACACACTGTGAATGGTCTGGGTCTGGGACTTGTCACGTGTCCCAGAAAACTGCAGGGAGGGAGGAAAGCTTGCGCTTTCAATCACCTAGGCTGTTGTAGCGGAGATGAGAATGGGTACATGTCAAAATTGGGTACCCGCCCCCCAAAACTGCCATTTCTTTACCAGGAGTGGGGGAAGAGGCCTTAAAGCGGAATTTCCTCCTTTGGGTGAAGCTCCTCTGTAAGTTACATAGTTGGTGAGGTTGAATAAAGACATCAGTCCATCCAATTCAACCTGTGTGTGTTTATGTCTCCACCATTTTCCATATCCCTGTATATTGCGTTCGCTAAGATGCCCATCTAAGGCTAGGTTCACATCTGTGCGGCTGGTGCCGCTGCGGGACCCCCGCACATACCGATAGCCGCAACCACCCACATAAAGAAATGTGGAACCCGTGTGTGGGTGACATTAATTCTAATGGCACACCGCCCATACTGGAAATCGTAACCGTACTGGGAACCTTGGTTCCCATGCGGGCTGCGTAATAAAAATATTGCAGGGACTTCTTTCCTGTGTGTCCCCCTCGTACCTATGCAAAATCGCAGCCCGCACGGCCACAAAGGTGGGAACCTAGCCTAAGAGTTATTGAAAATATTCAATAATCTTGCAGACGCCACCCTCAGCCTTACTGCTCCGACAGTTAAAGACAGTAAAGTTCCAGCATGTATTTAGAATTTACAGTGTACCCCATAGTAATAGAATTGTATAAACTAAAGCAGTGGTCTTCAAACTGCGGCCCTTTGCTTGCCTTTATGTGGCCCTTGAGGCACTGTTCCTCTTACTGATAAGACACATTATTCCTCCCAATGACACGAACAATGGGGCACTATTCCTTCCACTGACACCAACAATGGGGCACTATTCCTCCCACTGACACCAATGATGGGGCACTATTCCTCCCACTGAAACCAACAATGGGGCACTATTCCTCCCCACTGATACCAATGATGAGGCACTATTCCTCCCACTGACACCAATGATGAGGCACTATTCCTCCCACTGACACCAATGATGAGGCACTATTCCTCCCACTGACACTAATGATGGGCACTATTCCTCCCACTGACACCAATGATGGGCACTATTCCTCCCACTGACACTAGGATGAGGCACTATTCCTCCCACTAACACCAATGATGGGGCACTATTCCTCCCACTAACACCAATGATGGGGCACTATTCCTCCCACTGACACCAATGATGGGACACTATTCCTCCCACTAACACCAATGATGGGGCACTATTCCTCCCACTAACACTATTCCTTCCACTGATGGGGCACTATTCCTCCCACTGACACCAATGATGGGGCACTATTCCTCCCACTGACACAAAATAATGGGGCACTATTCCTCCCACTGACACCAATGATGGGGCACTATTCCTCCCTGAACCAATGATGGGGCACTATTCCTCCCACTGACACACAATGATGGGGCACTATTCCTCCACTGACACCAAGGATGGGGCACTATTCCTCCCACTGACACCAATGATGGGGCACTATTCCTCCCACCAACACCAACGATGAGGCACTATTCCTCCCACTGACACCAACGGATGAGGCACTATTCCTCCCACTGACACCAATGATGGGGCACTATCCTCCCACTAACAATATGATGGGGCACTATTCCTCCAACTGACACCAATGATGGGGCACTATTCCTCCACTGGCACCAATAATGGGGCACTATTCCTCCCACTAACACCAATGATGGGGCACTATTCCTCACACTAACACCAATATGGGGCACTATTCCTCACACTGGGGCACCCTCCCAAAATGATGGGGCAATATTCCTCCACTGACACCAATGATGGGGCACTATTCCCCCACTGAAAAGTCTGAAGGAAAGGGCACTATTCTGGCCCACTTTGTTTGGAAAGTTTGGGGCAGATTCCCCCCTGAACTAAAAAGGACCCCCATGGGGCACTATCAGATCTGGAATAAACAATGGGGCACTTCTAGACCTGTACACCAGACCAGTAATATAAAACTGTCACCATTATGGGGCACTATTCCTCCCTAACCAATGATGGGGCACTATTCCTCCCACTAAACCAATGAGGGGACTATTCCTCTCACTGAATGAAGGATGGGGCACTATTCCTTCCACCAACACCAATGATGGGGCCCTTTCCTCCCGTTATCACAATGCCTGGACAAACTGACATTCCAAGATGGGGCATCATTCCTCTAACTGGCACCAATAATGGGGCAATCATTCCTCACACTGGCACCAATAATGGGGCATCATTCCTCACACTGGCACCAATAATGGGGCATCATTCCTCACACTGGCACAGCAATAATGGGGCAATATTACCACCACTGATACCAATGTCCGGCCCCCAAAAGTCTGAAGGAAAGTAAACTGGCCCTTTTGTTTTTGAAAGTTTGGAGACCCCTGAACTAAAGTATCAGATCTGGAATAAACACAACTTCTAGACCTGTACACCAGACCAGTAATATAAAACTGTCATTATAAGGAGTTGCCTCATCTGGAAAAAAAGGATGGGGCCCCCCCCATAGGAAAATAGGATGAATCTTCTTTCCCAAAAGAAATAGTAAATCAAAGATGTTTTTCCATACGTTGCAAAACAAGATTGACATTCCATAGAAAATTGTAATTAAATGGGGCCCCCCACTTCGGAATCTGTCTTTGTGTAGATCGTTAGCCTTGTTAATGAGTGGGGCCCATCACACATGCCCAGCTTATGTTCACACGGAGTAGGAAAAAAGAGGATATCTATACCCCCCAATTTTGTTTTTGTTTTGGATGGATTGGGAAAGGTTAGAAGAAAGGGAATAACTATAGATTATGGGGCCCCATAGGAAAAGAGGATGGGGCCCCCCATGGAAAATAGGATGGGGCCCCCCATGGGAAAATAGGATGGGGCCCCCCATAGGAAAATAGGATGGGGCCCCCATAGGAAAATAGGATGGGGCCCCCCATAGGAAAATAGGATGGGGCCCCCCATAGGAAAATAGGATGGGGCCCCCCATAGGAAAATAGGATGGGACCCCCATAGGAAAATAGGATGCGCCGTCTCCTTCTCCTCCCCCTCTTCTAGGGAGGGCTTTTTACTTTGTGACATGGTGACGATACGGGTCATTGATCTTAACCACTTGAGTTCTGGAAGGTGTTACCCCCTTCATGATCAGGCCATTTTTTTGCTATTTAGCACTGAACTACTTTAACTGGTAATTGCGCGGTCATGCAACACTGCACTCAAAAAAAATTTATATAATTTTTCACACAAATAGAGTTTTCATTTGGTGATATCAGATCACCACTGGGTTTTTTTAGTTTTTGTCATATAAATGAAAAAAAATGTTTTGAAAAAAAAAAGAAAAAAGATTTTTTTTACTTCACGCTATAAAACATATCCAATAAAAACATCAAATTTGTTCATAAATTTAGGGGAAAATGTATTCTGCTACAATAAGTGTATATTGATTGGTTTGCATGTAACTTCTAGTGTGTACAAACTATGGTGTATATATATATATATATATATATATATATATATATTGACTTTTTTTTATACTACTAATAGTGGTTATCAGCGACTTATAATAGGACAGCTATAGTGAGGAGGGCAATCAGGCACTAACTGACACTGAGGGGGAACTGACTGACACAGACATCAACAGTGACACCAATACAGTGATCAGTGATAATGGTCTTTGGGACTATTGGACCATGGGATAACGTCATCCTCCAAGGTACCAATCAGGAGTCTGAAAACCTGGCATCCAGAAGCAGCCAGGGGGAAGAGGGGGAAGGTACGGGGGTGGGGGAGGATGACAGTGACTGGCTCGGGAAGGTGGTGGTGAGCATTTTTGCTAGTTTAGTTACAATTTAAAGTGTACCCAAATGCAAAACATTTTTTAATTTTCAAATTAAGTAAGTAAGGGAGGGTTATAGCCCCTGTCAGTTTTGTTTTGCCATCTTTGTCCCATTGGGGAGATTTACCTTCACTTCCTGTTTAATAGCCAAAACAGCAAGTAAGAGGAAGTCCCTTTAAGGAGAAGGAATCCCGGGGTGTCACCAGACCTAGTGTCCCCATTGGAAGATTTCCCTTCCACTACTTTTCTGCTGACAGCCAAAAATGTGGGATTTTCTTTTACTTTCATGTTCGATGATAATGGTAAACAGGACAAATAGAGAGAGGGGGAATCTCCCTAAAGGGGACACAGATAGAAATATAACCTGGCAAGTGTTCCAAGTCCTCTCTACTTCCATCCAAAACTAAACAAATAAAAAGTTTTGCATTTAGTTACACTTTAACAGCTTCCATATCGACCTATAGCAGAACTACTGCTACAGGGCGGCAGGACTGCGCAAAATCACACACACACACACACACACACACACACACACACACACACACACACACACACACATATACGTGATTTTGCATTTCCAGGTAGGGGGTGAGCACCGTCCTACCCGCGCCGCCACTGGCAGCTTCAGATGTCAATCACGGGGTCCCAGACGGGGATTTCTCGCCGGGTCCCAGACGGGGATTTCTCGCCGGGTCCCAGACGCGGATTTCTCGCCGGGTCCCAGACGCGGATTTCTCGCAGACGCGGATTTCTCGCCGGGTCCCCAGACGGGGATTTCTCGCCGGGTCCCAGACGGGGATTTCTCGCCGGGTCCCAGACGGGGATTTCTCGCCGGGTCCCAGACGGGGATTTCTCGCCGGGTCCCAGGCAGAGATTTCTCGCCGGGTCCCAGGCAGAGATTTCTCGCCGGGTCCCAGACGGGGATTTCTCGCCGGGTCCCAGGCAGAGATTTCTCGCCAGCACCCGGCAATCGTCGAGGAACACTGACAGGGGAGAGACCTGTATGTAAACAACACAGGTCTCTCTCCTGCCAGCAAGGACATGCTGCTGTGTATATCTCTGCACAACAGAGAAACACACAGCAGTATGTTTTCCAAGTAAAACAGCACACAGTTAACCCTTTGATCGCCCCAGATGTTAACCCCTTCCTGCCCAATGCCATTAGTACAGTGTCAGTGCCTTTTTTTTTAGCATTGATCACTGTATTGGTGTCACTGGGGATGTCAGTGGCAGTTCACCCCCCAGTGTCAGAATGCCAGCCGCAGTCCCGCTATAAGTCGCTGATCGCCGCCATTACTAGTGTAAAAATATACTAAAACTAAAAATCCCAGTATATATACCGCCATTTGCAGATTCTATAACTCTCACGTTAACCAATTAATTTACACATATTGGGATTTTTTTTTTTAGTAAACATATGCAGCAGAATACATTTTGGCCTAAATTTATGAAGAAATTAGATTGTTTTGGTTTTTTTACTGGATATGTTTTATAGCAAAAAAAGTCAAAAATAGGGTTTTTTTTTTTTCAAAATTGTCGTCGGTCTTTTTTTAATAGGGCAAAAAATAAAAAAAATGCAGAGGTGATCAAATACCACCGAAAGAAAGCTCTATTTGTGGGAAAAAAGGACATAAATTTGATTTGGATGCAGCATGACCGTGCAATTGTCAGTTAAAGTAATGCAGCGCGGTATTGCAAAAAATGGCCTGGTCAGGAAGGGGGGGGGGGGGGGGGGGATAATGTCTTTTTATTCTGCAGTGACAAATGTAGCCACATGGGTGTCACTAGCCCACGGTTCCATCCTCAGCCTTGCGTCTTGGCGTGGCGTTCCTGAAAGCGCTCTCTCCTCATATAAACCTTCTGGCTACGCGCGCCCACGCCCTCCTTTCCTGTTTGTTGACATTTTTTGAAAAGGTTTATGGTTAGCGATATCAATGGCGTCACCTCGAATGTCCGCCGGGACACACCAGCTGAGCGACTTTTGTTGGGAAATCCCTGAGATGCTAATTACTGACAATTATTAACTGCGATAATACAAGAGGATGGGGGTCATCTAGTAAAGTTCACTTCTCTGCGTCTGAGGAGCAATTATGAGGGAAGAGGATGGGGGTCATCTAGTAAGTAAACATCACTTCTCTGCGTCTGAGGAGCAATTATGAGGGAAGAGGATGGGGGTCATCTAGTAAACATCACTTCTCTGCGTCTGAGGAGCAATTATGAGGGAGGAGGAGGATGGGGGTCATCTAGTAAACATCACTTCTCTGCGTCTGAGGAGCAATTATGTGGGAAGAGGGGGTCATCTAGTAAACATCATGGGGGTCATCTAGTAAACATCACTTCTCTGCGTCTGAGGAGCAATTATGAGGGAGGAGAGGATGGGGGGATCATCTAGTAAACATCACTTCTCTGCGTCTGAGGAGCAATTATGAGGGAGGAGGATGGGGGTCATCTAGTAAACATCACCTCTCTGCGTCTGAGGAGCAATTATGAGGGAAGAGGATGGGGGTCATCTAGTAAACATCACTTCTCTGCGTCTGAGGAGCAATTATGAGGGAGGAGGATGGGGGTCATCTAGTAAACATCACTTCTCTGCGTCTGAGGAGCAATTATGAGGGAGGAGGATGAGAGGGTTTATAGTACATGTAAGTGATGAGAACACGGGGAACTAAAGGGTCACCCCTAAGAAAGCCAACCTTTTTTTTTTCTGAATGCCGATAGGTTGGATCACTGGATGGGCGCACACATTACAATCTGAATGTACAACCTATTTATTATAATTGAACACAAAAGTGCCAGAAAACGTTTCTCAGATCTAAGCCAATTATAAACTCGGCAACACGTGGTGGCAGGGCCGGGACAAGGGGTGGGCAGGAGGGGCGGCTGCCCTGGGCGCAATGGTTTATTATAGGAATGGGGGCGCCTTCCTCCTGCTACAATGCTGATAGGAGTAGTGAGAGCGGCGGAGACTTTGACAAGCGAGTGACGGCTGGGCGTAGGATTCCCTAAGCTTGCACTTCATGAACATGGTGGAGGGGGGGGGGGGGGGGGGGGCAGGCACGCAGTTTGGCATCTTTGCCCTGGGCACTGGATGGCCTTGTCCCGGCACTGCACGGTGAATATGATAGTATCACATAACGATCAGATATTCTACAATCAGACTGCAACATGTGTGACCGGCCTAACTCAGGGCGAAGATCTCACCAAGAGAGATAGAAGAAAGAATCGGGTACTTTATAGGGTCAGTCCACCCAAAATTGATATTTCAGCTTCTGCTAGATGGTGGAGAGTGGTGTATCTTAGGGACTCAATGCACTGAGTTCCCAGGTCTGTACACCTGCTGTGCCCATTATGAGGGGTTCCCACCATCCCTGTGCTGAGTTCCCAGCTTTGAACACCTGCTGTGCCCATTATGAGGAGTTCCCACCATCCCTGTGCTGAGTTCCCGGGTCTGTACACCTGCTGTGCCCATTATGAGGGGTTCCCACCATCCCTGTGCTGAGTTCTCAGGTCTGTACACCTGCTGTGCCCATTATGAAGGGTTCCCGCCATCCCTGTGCTGAGTTCCCCGATCTTTACACCTGCTGTGCCCATTATGAGGGGTTCCCGTCATCCCTGCACTGAGTTCCCGGGTCTGTACACCTGCTGTACCAATTATGAGGAGTTCCCACCATCCCTGTGCGGAGTTCCTGGGTCTGTACACCAGCTGTGCCCATTATGAGGGGTTCCCACCATCCCTGCGCTGAGTTGCCGGGTCTGTACACCTGCTGTGCTTGCTATGAAGGGTTCCCCACCATCCCTGCGCTGAGTTCCTGGGTCTGTATACCAGCTGTGCCCATTATGAGGGGTTCCCACATCCCTGTGCTGAGTTGCTGGGTCTGTACACCTGCTGTGCTTGCTATGAAGGGTTCCCACCATCCCTGTGCTGAGTTCTCAGGTCTGTACACCCACTGTGCCCATTATGAGGGGTTCCCACCATCCCATGTGCCCGTACCAGCACACAGCCACAGCCTACCATTAATTTGTACAAGTGGTTGTACACTAACACCCCTACACCTGGGTACCAATCATTTTGTTTGTCACATCTCAATGCCCCAAGGCAGCAGGCCATCACTGCAGTACGTATAATACGCAGGGCATGGTAGTGCATTGCGGTTCGTTGCGTTAAAAACAGGGTCGTGTCCAGGGGTGGACTGAAAACTCATGGGGCCCCCGGGCAACAGGGGACCTGTACTGCTAGGGTGACAGGGTGATGTTAAAAAAAAAAAACAAAAAACAAAGCCATAAATAATCTAAAAAAAAAAATTCCAAAAAATTTTAGAAAAGTTATAATTTTTTATTATAAACTAATATGGGTTATTATTTTTTTTTTACTAAAAAGATAATTGAATTAATTTTGGCCATGATTTATGAAGAAAGATTACTTATTTGCAAAATTTTGTAAGAAAAAACACTTTTTCAAAATTTTGGACTTTTTCATTTATATAACAAAAAAAATCCCAGCGGTGGATACCACCAAAATAAAGTTTTATCTGTCTCAAAAAAATGCTAAAAAGTTCATATGGGTACAATGTTGCATGACCGCGCAATTGTCATTCAAAGTGTGATAGTGCTGAAAGCTGAAAATTGGCCTGGAGAGGAAGGGGGTGAAAGTGTCCGGACTGGAAGGGGGGTGAAAGTGTCCGGACTGGAAGGGGGGTGAAAGTGTCCGGACTGGAAAAGGGGGGAAAGTGTCCGGACTGGAAGGGGGTGAAAAGAGTGTCCGGACTGGAAGGGGGTGAAAGTGTCCGGACTGGAAGGGGGTGAAAGTGTCCGGACTGGAAAAGGGGGGGAAAGTGTCCGGACTGGAAGGGGGGTGAAAGTGTCCGGACTGGAAAAGGGGGGAAAGTGTCCGGACTGGAAGGGGGTGAAAGTGTCCGGACTGGAAGGGGGTGTGAAAGTGTCCGGACTGGAAGGGGGTGAAAGTGTCCGGACTGGAAGGGGGTGAAAGTGTCCGGACTGGAAGGGGTGAAAGTGTCCGGACTGGAAGGGGGGTGAAAGTGTCCGGACTGGAAAAGGGGGGAAAGTGTCCGGACTGGAAAGGGGGGAAAAAAAGTGTCCGGACTGGAAGGGGGTGAAAGTGTCCGGACTGGAAGGGGGTGAAAGTGTCCGGACTGGAAGGGGGTTGAAAGTGTCCGGACTGGAAGGGGGTGAAAGTGTCCGGACTGGAAGGGGGTTCGAAGTGTCCGGACTGGAAGGGGGTGAAAAGTGTCCGGACTGGAAGGGGGGGAAGTGTCCGGACTGGAAGGGGGGGAAGTGTCCGGACTGGAAGGGGGGGAAGGGGGGGGAAGCAGTGTTTTGTCGGAAGTGTCCTGACTGGAAGGGGGGAAGGGGGAAGTGTCCGGACTGGAAGGGGGGGAAGTGTCCGGACTGGAAGGGGGGGGAAAGTGTCCGGACTGGAAGGGGGGGAAAGTGTCCGGACTGGAAGGGGGGGGGAAGTGTCCGGACTGGAAGGGGGTGAAAGTGTCCGGACTGGAAGGGGGGGCTGAAAGTGTCCGGACTGGAAGGGGGGGGGTGAAAGTGTCCGGACAGGAAGTGGGTGAAACTGTCCGGACTGGAAGGGGGTGAAAGTGTCCGGACTGGAAGGGGGTGAAAGTGTCCAGACTGGAAGGGGGGGAAGTGTCCGGACTGGAAGGGGGTGAAAGTGTCCGGACTGGAAGGGGGTGAAAGTGTCCGGACTGGAAGGGTCTGAAAGTGTCCGGACTGGAAGGGGGGGAAAGTGTCCGGACTGGAAGGGGGTGAAAAAGTGTCCGGACTGGAAGGGGGTGAAAGTGTTCGGACTGGAAGTGGTTAAGCAGCCCCCAAGTAGGAATCATCATCTTGTTTCACTTTTATACCTTACTGTATTTATTGCAATATGTTTCTATTCCAAATTTGAATTCATTTTGTTATCATTTATTTCAGATTTGTTGAAATTTGTTACTATTGCGATTCGTACATCTGAATCTCTGAATAACGAAAATTGTGTCCAAATTTTGATCTGTAACAAAACAAATCGTACATGTCTAGTGGAGGATGTTATGGATCTGAGGATGGGTGGGGGAGGGAGCAACTCCATATTTTGTCAGGTGCCTGCAAACCTTATAATGTATCAAGGAAGAAAGGACAGTGATATGTTTTGCTCTGAATACTAGGCCCTCTGTTTTGCGGGGCCTCAGAGCAGCGACTACATCTCCTAACTCCTACATCATTTATTTTGCAAAAGGCAGCTGAAATCATTGAATGATAAACACCAACTGGACATTGCCTTGGTATACCCACTATAAGTACGGAGAGATCTAAATGGTATATGTACTCACGTATTTAAATGCCAGGACGATGGCTGTCACAATCCCCGTAACAAAGAGGACTATCCCCAGGACAGCGAACAGTCCTGCACAGGAGGTGAAGTCCACCTATCAGGGATAGAGCACAGTGAGATGTTCATGATCACATTTAAAAGAATTCCAATACCAATCAATCAATAAAATACTTTAAAGAGGAATACCATTTAAACTGCAGCCAGAACCTTTATTAGCTTTGAAAATAATGGGAAAGTGTATAAGCCTTTTAATTATTTTTTTCTCAACACTACAGGCAGAGATGGCAATGGAATATGGTTACCATTCATCCCCATTAGTCAGACCCCTGTACTCTGACTGCGTTACCTAATCCTGACCCCTGCACTCTGCCCTACCTAATCCTGACCCCCTGCACTCTGCCCTACCTAATCCCGATGCATGCACTCTGCCCTACCTACTCCCGACCCCTGCGCTACCTACTCTCTTGACCCCTGCGCTCTGCGTTACCTACTCTCGACCCCTGCGCTCTGCGTTACCTACTCCCGACCCCTGCGCTACCTACTCTCGACCCCTGCGCTACCTACTCTCGACCTCTGCGTTACCTACTCTCGACCCCTGCGCTCTGCGTTACCTACTCTTGACCCCTGCGCTCTGCGTTACCTACTCTTGACCCCTGCGCTCTGCGTTACCTACTCTCGACCCCTGCGATCTGCCTTACCCAAATCCCAATGCATGCACTCTGCCCTACCTACTCCTGACCCCTGCACTCCCTACCTAATCCTGACCCCTGCACTCCGATCTACCTACTGCCAACCCCTGCACTCCACCTAACCCACTCCCGACCTCTGCACTCCGCCCTACCCGCTCCCGACCCCACTGCACTCCGCCCTACCAGCTCCCGATCCCTGCACTCTGCCCTACCCGCTCCCTGCACTCCTACCCACCTATGATGGCTGCTCTCCTGCACTCTGCCCTACCCGCTCCAGACCCCTGCACTCTTCGTTACCCCCTCCTCCTGACCTCTGAACTTAGGAGGTCAGGTTTTATTTATCCATACACCTTTAGGCAATCTGGCCATAGATCCAGAGGAAGGCAAAAGGCAGAGGAAGGTGTGTTTAAGTTTTGAAAATGAAATCTGAGGACACCCTACTGACCACACCCCCTTTTATAAACTAGGGCATGAATCTTGTGCGTGTGGCTACAACTGCGGGTATGTTTAAAAGTGGGTGTGGTCAGTAGGGTGTCCCCAGATTTCATTTTCAAAATCTGGTAAGCTTAAAATAGAAACCTGACAGAGGTTCTAACCCGGGGTCAGCAAGGTTCTCCAAAACGGTCATGTTCACAAGCATCAGACAAACCGGGAACAATAGAGCGTTTTAATCCTAGTTTGTTTAAAATGTTTGCAATTATGATTGTACTGCTAATGGCAAGTTCAACCCAACAATTCGGTTCGGAGCACACAGAGGCCAACGATCTTTCTCACCTTGGTCTGGAAACAAAAAACAGTCACAGCGATGGTGACGATGGCGGTGATGGCCAGAGTGATGAGTACAGCTTGTGTGCTGTAATAACTGCAACATAAGAAACAGAATAGAATGTCAGAATTCCATCAAGACTCCGTCATTTCACATTGCTGATATCAAACTGAAGGGTCTGTTTTAGGTCATAACAATATTCCACATCGACTCCTAACTATAATCAATGTTATTAGAAACCATAAAAGCAAAAACAGGGCGCACTCTCTTCGTGCATTACCATGGTGAAACAAGAATTTATTTAACCACTTCCTGTCCGGACACTTTCACCCCCTTCCTGTCCAGGGCAATTTTCAGCTTTCAGCGCTATCACAATTTGAATGACAATTGCGCGGTCATGCAATACTGTACCCATATGAATTTTTTACCATTTTTTTGAGAGAGATAAAGCTTTATTTTGGTGGTATTTATTCATCGCTGGGATTTTTATTTTTTTTACTATGTAAATGAAAAAGTCCAAAAATTTTTTTAGAAAATTTTGCAAATAAATAATATTTCATCCTAAATCTTGGCCAAAATGTATTCCGTTATTTTTTTAGTAAAACAAAAAAGTCCAAAACTTTTTTTTAGAAAATTTTGCAAATAAATATTTCATCCTAAATCTTGGCCAAAATTTATTCCATTATTTTTTTAGTAAAACAAAAAATCCAGATTAGTTTATAACCAAAAATTATAATTTTTAAACATTTTTTTTACATTTTTATTTTTTTTTTATATTATTTTTTATTTTTATTTTTTACATACTGTCACCCTAGCAGTACAGTGTCACCATGGTGACACTGTACTACTTGTGGGGGGTGATGAAGATTTTTTTTTTTTTTTACACACTGATTGCTTTTACACCCATATAGGATGTAAAAGCAATCATTTCTCTTTCTCTCTGTCTGCATTCTTGCAGTCATTGAGAAATACTGAGTGAGCTGTGATTGGTCACAGCTTGTCACATGGTACAAGGCTGTTGTGAATAGCCTTGTACCATGTGACCTCTGTGATCATTCACAGATTTCACACGTAGTAAGCAATGATGTCACAAGTCACATCTTGGTTACTACTTTGCATGTGATCACTGATTCGCCAATCAGTGATCACATGATCGGGACCTCGTACAGAGGTCCCGTCCGACGATCGGTGTTTCACTGTGTCCGGAGGACACAGCGGGCACCGGATCGCAGTGGTGCGCGCTCCCAGGGAGCACGCACAGCTAGAAAAGGTGGGTGCCGTTTAGGAACGGCAACCCGCCCCTGGACTGCCACCGCCCTGCCATTTAAAAACAGCAGGTGGACGGCAAGAGGTTAAAAGCGCAAAAAATGCATACTCACAAACCAAAGGAGGATAAAAACAGAGAAGAGTCCGTAATGACAGTCCAAAGTGACGGTAGACACTTGGGGAGGTACGCTAACACGTTTCGGGAGACGTACTCCCTTCTTCAGAGCTGAAACGCTTTATCCTACCTCACCAAGGGTCTACCGTCACTTTGGACCGTCATTACGGACTCTTCTCTGTTTTTATACCCCTTTGGTTTGTGAGTATGCATTTTTATGCTTTTAACCCATGGACGCCGATCGCACGCAAATATGCGGCCTCTGGGCTTAGACGCCGTGCGGCTGCATATTTGCGTGTAATTAGAAATTACACGTGTTGAAAAGCGCTCCCCGCACATATGTCCACGACTCCCGCAAAGGTCCCGATCTCCCCTTTCGATCGGGACCTTTTCCGATCATGTGACCGTCGTGACAGCGAATCATGGCGGTCACATGACCCTAAAACCCCGGCTTCTGAAACTCTAAAAGGGCCGGGAGGCGCCGGTGGCAAGAGGTTAAATAAATTTGTGTTTCACCACAGTAATGCACGAAGAGAGTGCGCCCTGTTTTGCTTTTGATCACCAGTATCAAGATTTCCCGATCTTCTATGGGCTGCACCACAACGAATGACAGTTACAGTTATCCTAGTCTGCATGAAGATTTGAGCGATGGTTTCGTTTGTTTATTTTATTAGAAACCATGTCAAAAGGAGTAAAGATATAAAGATATATATGTTTTAACTTACTACAGAGATTCAGAGACACAGAGATATCCAAACCCAAAACGGTAGTATATTGCAGCCTACCAGTCCTTAGAAGTGGTGGCTGCATTAGTTTTCTTTATTATTAGGTTGCAGCAAAAGAAAAAAAAAAAATACTAGCTGATCTTGCCAGAAAACCAGTGTCCTTGTAATTCCCTATGCACTACATTGAAATCTCAATGTCATCGGCTTCACCAGTTCTCCTCCTCCTCCTTCCTAGGTAATAGAGATGAGAAGGGGGGTGGTATGTGTAGTCCAAATCAGGAGAGCAAAACAGCCCTCCATAGATACAGTACAGTGAACGTGTGTTGTCACCCTAGGACAGGAAGTGTGCTGCTGGCAGGATCAGCAGGTGAAAAATAAACAAATAAAGGATAGTGAGCGCTCTTATAAATACACTAGAACACTTCAGGCAACCAAATGCCTCCAAAATATCAATATAACCATAAAACATCAGAGTGCAGCGCTTAGAAAAATAAATATGTGATTAACAATAGCAGAGAGTCAATAAGGCACCACAGTGTTTCACTGGAGTAATTTCCACGGCCTTTACTCCTTCAAATAAACAGAAATGCGCACATCACCAGAAGCGCAAATGTATGGTCAAGCATCCCAGGTGAAGGTACATCAAAGGTTGGGCAGCAGGCATTTCCCTCATGGTGGGTCATCACGGACTCTTTAGTCAGGTCCAGGGGTCCCCTTAAGGTCAGCCAGGTGCTCCACACAAAACTCCTCCTCAAGGTGGCAAAGTGCTTTCTCTGTGGGAATGATAAAAAACAGATGCCAGAGATAGTGTACTAACTGGCATCTATCTCTGGCATGTGTTTTCTGGGGCTCCTATGTGGAGCTATCATTCCCACAGGAAAGCACTTTGCCACCTTGAGAGGAGTTTTGTGTGGAGCATCTGGCTGACCTTAAGGGGACCCCTGGCCCTCCATAGATACAGTCCGTGATGACCCACCATGTGCCTGCTGCCCAACCTTTGATCCTACCCTACACAGCGATAACCCATGTGTGCTGCGCATGGAAGGAGTAAAGGCCGTGGAGTTCGATCAGCAGGTGAAAAATATTTAAAGCGCTGGGGGAAAAAGCACTTAAGGGCTGGTAAGCTGCAAAAGATTGCACGTTCTTTTTTAGGTTTAAATACACCCTAAAGTGATTGTAAAGGATAACATTTCATTATTTAAAAATAACAAACATGTTATACTTACCTGCCCTAACAATTTTGCACAGAGCAGCTCCAATTCTCCTCTTCTCGGGTCCCATGCCGGCGCTTCTGGCTCCTCCCCCCCCCCACCGAGTGCCCCCATAGCAAGCCGCTTATTATGGGGGCACTTGTTATGCTGTTATACTTGCTCATTATGGGGGCTCACTCCCAAGCCAGCTCTGTCTCTCCATAGATACACAGAGCATGGCCCCCCATTTCCTCCTTACTGGCTGTGACTGACAGCAGCGGAAGCCAATGGCTGCTGCTGCTGTCCCTGAGCCACTGAGGAGGGGGAAAGCCTCTGCGCTTGTGCACATCGCTGGATTGAGATGGGGCTCAGATAAGTATAAGAGGGGGGGGGCCTGGATGCAGAAGGTTTTTTACCTTAAAGTGGTTCTAATTCCTTATGTTTTTATGCAAAGAAAGCATTAAAGGTGAAAAACCTTCT